ATTTTTGCAATTTTCAGGAATTTTTGCATTTATAAACATTTTTGCGATGTTTGCAATTTTCAGCAATTTTTGCAATATTTGCAATTTTCAGGAATTTTCGCAATTTCTGCAATTTACAGGAATTTTTGCGATTTTTTCAATTTTCAGAAATTTTTGGGAAAATTTTTTCAATTTTCAGGAATTTTTGCAATTTCTGCTTTTTCTTCGATTTTTGCAATTTTTGCGATTTCTGCAATTTTCAGGAATTTTTGCAATTTTCAGAAATTTTTGCAATTTTTGCAATTCTCAGGAATTTTTGCAATTTCCAGGCACTTGCAATTTTCAGGAATTTTTGCAATTTTCAGGCATTTTTGCAATTTTCAGGAATTTTTGCAATTTTTGCAATTTTCAGGAATTTTTGCAATTTTCAGTAATTTTTGCAATTTTTGCAATTTTCAGGAATTTTTGCAATTTCTGCAATTTTCAGGAATCTTTGCAATTTTTGCAATTTTCAGGAATTCTTGCAATTTTCGCATTTTTCAGGAATTTTCGCAATTTTTGCTATTTTCAGGGATTTTTGCAATTTTCAGGAATTTTTGCAATTTTTGCAATTTTTGCAATTTTCAGGAATTCTTGCAATTTTCGCATTTTTCAGGAATTTTTGCAATTTTTGCAATTTTCAGGAATTTTTGCAATTTCTGCAATTTTTGCGATTTCTGCGATTTTTGCAATTTTTGCGATTTCTGCAATTTTTGCGATTTCTGCAATTTTTGCGATTTCTGCAATTTTTGCGATTTCTGCAATTTCTGCAATTTTTGCGATTTTTGCGATTTTCAGTAATTTTTGCAGTTTTCGGGAATTTTTTTAATTTTTCCATTTTTTGCGATTTTTGCGATTTTCAGTAATTTTTTTAATTTTTGCAATTTTTGCGATTTTTGCGATTTTCGCAATTTTTGCGATTTCTGCTATTTTCGCGATTTTCCGAAATTTCTGCAATTTTCAGGCATTTTTGCGATTTTTGCAATTTTCAGGAATTTTTGCAATTTTTGCAATTTTCAGGAATTTTTGCAATATTTGCAATTTTCAGGCATTTTTGCGATTTTTGCAATTTTTGCAATTTTCAGGAATTTTTGCAATTTTCAGGAATTTTTGCAATTTTCAGGAATTTTTGCGATTTTTTGCAAATTTTCAGGAATTTTTGCGATTTTTGCAAATTTTGCGATTCTTGCAATTTTGCGATTTCTGCAATTTTGCGATTTCTGCAATTTTTTGCAATTTTCAGTAATTTTTGCGATTTTCAGGAATTTTTGCAATTTTTGCAATATTCAGAAATTTTTGCAATTTTCAGGAATTTTTGCAATTTTTGCAATTTTCAGGAATTTTTGCAATTTCTGCAATTTTTGCGATTTTTGCAATTTTTGCGATTTCTGCAATTTTTGCGATTTCTGTGCAATTTTTGCGATTTCTGTGCAATTTTTGCGATTTCTGTGCAATTTTTGCGATTTCTGCAATTTTCAGGAATTTTTGCAATTATTGCAATTTTTGCAATTTTCAGGAATTTTTGCAATTTCTGCAATTTTCAGGAATTTTTGCAATTTCCAGGAATTTTTACAAATTTCGTATATCTGCTATTGTTATTGAATTTCTAATGTTCACTCTGTATATGAATACTAAACTTATTTTCGTCTCCACATTCTCACGTTTCACTATTTGTAAAAATATGGGCCAATGCGAATGTAAGTGAACAAGTCTCTTCAACTCCTCATGCAAATGGTAAGTTCCTGAATTAATATAACTATGACACCCGTCATGATAGGAAACTGAATTTTCAAGACAGCGTTGAGGAGCGAATGATGAATATATTAAAAAATAATTAGGGAATTTCACCGAGTTAATCATGAATAACAGGGTGATTTCAAAAAACACACTATATGTATATCTCAACAAAATCATGTTCATACGGTATCAGCTATGGGAGGTTAACAATTCACTCGAATATACAGGATGTGTATGAATAAATCGGTCTTAGGTGTCACCAATTTTTCAAATCACCTTGTATGAAATGTATGAATTGTGATTCATGATGGAATGAGAATAGTATATTGCATGCCTAAATTATTTTTTCGATATTTCATTATTACATCGAATTTTCAGACATCACTGAAATGTTTATATGTTTCACTCTGTAAACAATTACATCATCTGAACCATCTGAATTATGTTGAGTAATATGGAGGTTTGTTAATGATATGAGCGAAGAAAATTGTACTTGGCATCTTTGAATTTCGAGAAAATAATTAAATGGAAAATACCGATTTGTAACTTCAACGCCCTGTATCTCAGAATCTGGTCATCAAGGAACTTTACGATTCTGCAGGTTCAATCAGTTCATCGAATTCTACAACATACTGAAAATTCAGAAAATTTCACCAAGAACCATTTTACGTACTAAAAGTGCGGGGTCCTTTCACTTCAGAAAAAAATAAATAAAAGGGGAACTTGGCTCCTCCACCATTATTCCAATGACTTACTTTCTGAAAATCCACATTCACACAGAGTTAAAATACAATTCCCTGTGCCAGTATGACGTTGCCGACATCATCATTATATGTCTAGATTTCCGGAAATTGTTCTTTGATTGCATAATAACTATATCGTAACAGCAATGGAATATAATAGATTTTTCAATCCTACTTTGTCAAGTAGGTATTAGGAATAATTCCCATAAATCTCTCATTGGCTGAATGAAGTTGATCACTAATTAGAATAAATTATGATATATCGCGATTATATCTATAATTTTTCACTATCGTTATATTACAAAACAACAAAACGGATCGATTTTCTAGAAAAGTTGCAGATTATATCTTGCAACAGCGCCTAATACTTTGAGTCCGTCCACACCACTCAAAATACTGACAGGCACAACAAGAGAAATGAGCCATGCGTGTCGGCTTTATTATTCTGTTCTGACCGATGACAGTGAATTAGGAAGGACAGTATCATTTAATGTAGCCAAGAGTGATTCATTGATTCAATGCATGGACGCATAATGATATTTTCGGTTAGGATCGAGCTCTATTCGAGATATTTCAATGCATAAATAACAATACCATAACCTGTCAGAATGAAGCCAACTACCCTCTGCATTCCTGCTCCGGGTGCATTTGTGGTTATGTATGTTTATGTATGTTTATGTTTGTTTATGTTAACCAGTTTTACTACTTCTATTTTTTTTCATTCGTTCTTCTTTTTATTCGTTAGCTATTCGTTAGCTATTCGCTAGCTATATTCTTCACCATCAGCTATTTTCAGACTAGATTCGTCACAATTTGCCGCCCCGAAAATTAGAGATTGCTTTAATACGAAAATTAAAACGACTTGGACTTTATCGATCGCCATTCTGTACAGCGTGGACATAAAACTGGAGAATTCCGAACTTATTTTATAAAAATTCATCTGAAGGAAAATTCCCCATTCTCGAGGAGATTGCTCTGGGGAGCAGAGGGTTGAAGTAATGTGATTGTGATGCTTTCTTACATGCCAAACATTATCATCCTATGAACAAAAATCGACTTGCTCGGACGATTTTTTGAAAAATCTATCTTTTGGGATTTATCGAGGGTGGATAGTTTCAAGTGGACCACTCTGTATTAAAATGTCGTTCCGAATGAGGCTAAAATGTGTGTAAGAACGCTATTTATGCGTTACCTACACGGTGTAGAGTTACTGTGATTATTTATTTTCGTTTATTCCATCGCTGGTAATAGGTACTTTCTCTTCAAATAGATTTGTAATATTCATTCTTTTTCCGAGACCATTTACATAATGTAGGTATACATAACCGACGTGGAATATAGGTTTATAACTATATAATAATACAATTTGGAAATGAGATACCTAGGAAATAATTTACTATAGGTATACTTAAACTTACAGGTATGTTTCGAAATTTCGAAATTAGAGATAATGGTATAGGTACTACTTACTGTCTTTATTAACCTTCCGTGACTATAACATCATTATTTTTTCGTGAAATACGTCTTATTTCAAGTAGTTATTCGATAGAACTACCGTGTGATTCATGATTTTTGTATACCTTATTGAAAATCATTCGATTTATTATATTTCTTTGGCATAATTTCAGTCACTTATAAATATCTACTTGATTAGTGTTTCACTTCATATTCCGGGTGACACTGGAGACAGCCTGTAGTTTTTTTGTTCAAGAGATGAAAATTTTAAATTCACAAAGGATATATTATCAATGATGGCGCTTCTCTTGAAGCCAATGACAATTTTCTTCAACCACCTGTTTGATTGGAAGTAGACCAAACTTTTTTTTTTCGTATGGCACCCTGTATATACTATATCTTATTCGCCTTAAAATTCTCTATTTAACTATGTATCACAATTTGATATTCGTTAATTAATTAGATGTTGAATTGCATTTTATTGAAATACATGAAGTTGACTGTGGCCCGAATACAATGACATTTCGATGCTTGATAGGCTTAGAAATCCAAAGATCATTACTTAGACGATATTATCAGATTATTTTCCATACCCCAATCGGTCCCAATAGATTGCCAATGATTTCATTGAGTTTAAAAAAATTATCAAAAAATAACTCACGATATTCAGAAAACTAAGATAGAAACTCAGTTATTTTCATTCGGCTACTTGTGAAGAAACTATTTATCTTTCATTCTTGTCATGTAGCCACTGTGGTATCGTCCTAATACATCTGTTCATGAGTCAACATTAATGTATTTTCATTATCATTTTGCTCATCAAATTGTAGTACATAGTGGAATAGAAAATTCTAAGGCGAATGAGAAAGGCTATAGAAATATACAGGATGTCATCTAAAGAAAAAGTTGGGTCTACTTCCGATCATATAACCCTTGTGAATTTCAAATTTTTATCTTCTCAAATAAAAAAACTACAGTCTCCTGTGTCACCCGGTATACAATTCACCTGGATTTTCAATATATTTCAATTTGATTATTGGTACTTACCAGCATAGGAATATTTGGTACAACAACTACGTCATCTTGACTTCCTGCAGACTGGGATTCGTCAAAATGGTAGATTTTCTCAAGATTGTAGGAAACTGTTCCATTATCATGGAAAGTCAGATTCTTTCTCTCCCATTTTTCTCTGGAACGAAATACTACGTAATCTCTTGTGAATTTCATCTTGACCGTTGTATGTTCATTATTTTTCGAGCCATTTCTTCTTATCCAAAATTGATATTCATATTTAGTTTGATGATGAATTAAAGTGGGACAATCATATAAATGTTTTGACGAAAAAAATATCTCCTATTATTGGAGCCCTGAGAAGATGTCCCAAGCTCGATAAAAAGTTGCGAATTCTATATATTCTCTACTCAGTAGCATGAACTATTTGCTAAATCTTTGGGAATACTGTTAAAAAAATCAATTTTAATAAAATATCTGCATTATGTAAAAGGACATTGAAAGTACTGTATCCGTTTACCATAATTATGGTACCCAACAAATCGATTAGGTATATAAAATAACTGAATCATTCTCATCAGAAGAAAATATCATCAAAATTGAAAATATGAATATTACATGCAATATTATAAATAAAAGATTGAAATCCAATTTTATTTCCACACGCAACAATGAAATTCATGATCACCAAACTAGACAACATGGTTTATTTCATCTTGATATTACTAATTCTTCTATAGGCCAAGAAAGATTCACCCACGCTGCTCTGTTTGAATATAACAAATTACCAGATAATATGAAAAATCGCAAAAATACAATGAAATTCAAATACAAACTTGAAAAAATTATCATTTCTGAACGAAATAGATAGATATATTTGGCGATTTTTTTTAAATCGATCACTTCATATGCTATTTTTTTTTGCTCAAATATGGTCAAAATGGACCAACATTCTCTTTTCTTGGCACAGTATGATCAGTACCCACTGGGCACGTTATTTTCCAGTATATGGATACCTAACGTTACCATACAGGGTGTTATTCAAGTATCTGGCCAAACATCAAAGAGTGATTATTTCTGTGATTCTAAGACGGAAAGTAGATATACCTATACACCTAGGTCCTGAAGTGCTTCGTCTTCAAGATACAGGTTGTTGAAGATGGAAGTAATTATTGTTGTCTTCCATGATAACCCTGTATAAGCGGCCATGATGGCAATATTTAGTCTGGTTGGTGACTGAAAAAGTCCAAATTTCATACTCAAACCCCTTTTCTTCCATTGGCGTAGAATTTTTGAAGGTGCAATTATTTAAAAAATCAAGTTCTACGCCTATGTATTATTATCGGACAAAATTTTAACACCATTTTTTTTGCCACCTAAAATTCTATCAATATACCAAATTTCAGCGAAATCGCATATGCCGTTTCAAATTTAGATGGGAAAAACGATTTAAAAATTGGTAACTTCAAGGCCCTCTGGAGCCCAAACGATGCAACTTTGTACTGAGGTAATATGTGGTGTGTCTTTGTAAAGACCTTTACAGACACCCTGTATAATACATGAATCAACGGTGATACATATTCGAGTTGGTGAACGAATGAAATCGAATGATGAAGACATTCTTGGTTTATCAAGCCACCTGGGCATATTCCGTTCTATTGATATGCTAAACAATTGAATCGAACGAGTTTCTAATCTACAGTGAGGAATTCTGAAAATATTTATTGCCGAATGATATTCATAACATAGTCTTTGCGTTATTCACACATCAAGCTGTGATTTTTTTTTTCATGACGCATGAATCACGTTTTGTATAAGCGAAATTTTCTGAAACAAAGGAATCATTGTTTACAATGACACGTAATAACTTTTTCGTACTATACACCATTTGAGATACCTTTATGCCATTTGGTAAAAAAAATCTACCAATGACATAGCTATAATTCTGAGGTACGTTAAGACCCTTTTGAATAGAAATTGATACACCATTGGCAATTTTCAATTTTCTATTCCATAAATCTTACGTTAGTAAGAAAGTGTAGCTGTAATTTTGTGTATGATGTTTTGTCAGTATAATGATTTTTTATACCAGCTCGCTGATGCCTTATTGGAACTGGGAAAATTTTTTGAATACTGCTATTCAATGAAGTCAATTTTGATACCACCTGTATTGTATTCATTTACCTATCACCATGAACTGATTAATTAGTATCTTTTTTATCTATGTTCAATTATTTATATTATAATTAATACGCTAGAATTAATTATAGAACTATTTTCAGTCCGTTTTATGTAAATACTGTTCGATGAAAAAAGTATTCTTGTTCTGTGAATGAACATCTTGAGGACTACACCTTTTCCAATTCTTTTTCAGAATCCTCAATTCAGTTCCAGAGAACGTCAATTGAATTTCAAAATAGTCACTTCAAGTTCAAGTTTGAACCCCAGGAAAGTAGTTGTTTTCTGTTGAATAAACCGAGAAAGAATTGTTAGAATGTATTTCTTCATAAATATACATACAGTGTCTTTCAAAAGTATCGGAACGGTCTCATATTTCAGGAACGGCTTGAGGAAAATTCGCGAAATTTTTTACAGGGTGATTATTGATGATGTCCGATTCAATGGTGGCATCGGCAATGTTGCCAAGTTTACAGTTTTTCAGATATTAGGAGTAACTTTATTTTTTCAAATGGAATACCCCATTTATTTTTATTGTAATTGATTAAGCGCCTCCTAATCACTTGAGTCTCTGAATATCAGATTCGTAATTAACGTGATTTTCGAAATATGACAACATAGCATTTTCGTTAAAAAGTTCTGGAACGGTCCCATATTTCAGAAACGGCTCAGAGAAAATTCATGAAAACTTCGACAGGATGGTTGTTGATGATGCCCGATTCAATGGTGATATCGGCAATGTTGCCAAATCAACAGTTTTTCAGATATTGAGGGTAACTCAATTTTTTCAAATGGCTATATCTATCTGTATATTATTTTAAATGTATTGTAACCATAGTTTGGAGTAATAAAATATTTTGAATTTGAATTTGAAGAATTGTCAATATTGTATCGTCAATGTCTATCTAGTAAATAATAAATGAAATAAATATTATTAGGTAATAATGTATGAATAATAAAGTATCGAGTTTATTTTTCTGAATCTGAGATCTGCATTTGTCTTAAAAGTATTGTGTTTAATTCGAGCATAAAGTGTAATTGCCGCTCTCCAGATTACCGCGTTCCGCTTTTTTGTCGAGAGGCAATCCATCACTTTGTGCTCTAAATACACAAATAGCTATTGAAGTGCTTGTTACTGATCACAAAAACTAAACGCTAATAACTATTTGAGTGACATGGATTGAAAATACTGCATTAAAGGAGCGAGTTGCGAATTGATCGGAATGAAATTTCATATTTTCGCGTGCCCTTTTGAAAATAGGGTTTTCCCATTTGAAAAAATTTAATTACCCTCAATATCTGAAAAACTATTGATTTGGCAACATTGCCGATATCACCATTGAATTGGGCATCATCAACAACCATCCTGTCGAAGTTTCCATAAATTTTCTCTGAGCCGTTTCTGAAATATGGGACCGTTCCAGAACTTTTTAACGAAAATGCTATGTTGTCATATTTCAAAAATGACGTTGATTACGAATCTGATATTCAGGGACTCAAGTAATTAGGAGGCGCTCGATTTATTGCAATAAAAATAAATGGGGTATTCCATTTGAAAAAATAAAGTTACTCCTGATATATAAAAAACTGTAAACTTGGCAACATTGCCGATGCCACCATTGCATCGGACATCATCAAAAATCACCCTGTAGAAAATTTCGTGAATTTTTCTCAAGCCGTTCCTGAAATATGAGACCGTTCCGATACTTTTGAAAGACACTGTATATCCATATTTATATGTTCATAATTTTATTATATCTGAGAATATTCCTTTTCAATATCAAAGCGTTATTTGTATCTCAGCATTATCAAGATTGAATTATTGTGAGTATAGAAATAACATTCCATTTGATAATACATTAGTGTTCTGTCAGAGTATGAAGTGATCTCTATTTTTTAAATTGACAACCAATTCCTCCTAGCGAACGGATTTTAAAATTCAATTAACTTTTTCTGAACATCAATTGATATTTTCAGGAATAGAAATAGAAATTCAATTGACTGTTCTGAAATACAATTGTAGCGTTCTTAAATACAACTGACTGGAATACATTTAATGCTTTCTGAAATACAAGTAATTTTTCTGGAATAAAATTGTTGCTTCCTGAATTACAAGTTACTTTTATTTCAGGAATGAAATCAATGATTTCTGGAATATAATTGTTGCTTTCTGAAATAAGGGCAAGGGACTGTTCTGGATATTGATTGATGTTTTCTGAGATACAAGTATTTGTTCTGAAATACTGATGCTTTCAGAAAAACAAGTACCTGCCTGTTCTGGAATACAATTATTGTTTACTGAAGTACAAGTAACTATTGTGGAATATAATTGATGATTCTTTAAAAACAAGTGACTGTTCTGGAATATAATTGATGTTTTCTCAAATACAAGTGATTATTCTGGAACACATTGGTTGTGTTGTATTCTGAAATACAAGTGACTGTTCTGGAATACAATAGTCGCTCTCTGGAATACAACTGGAAAAGTTGTAGTTTCGTATGAATGAGGTCAAAAATTTCATCACAGCTTTCAGAACAATTATATACTCTCATATTTTGTATACTCGATGAAAATACTCACACATATACGTATGGACCAAGTTCGTCCACCACAGGTTTCGAACCGTTATTGAGGAACTCATCAGCATTTGTGACGTTGTAAATGTACACTTTTATGGTAGGTACTACAGGGGGTTTCGCCCACCAAGTAAATGTCTGGCTTCCATCCCTCAAAACTAATTCCTGGAAGGAAAAAACAGATATATTTATGTTCTCTGATAGAAGTTCATGGTAAGGATGTGTGGAGTGGAATAGTTGAAGGAAATGGGATTATTACTCAAAATCATCTCCGCTCAATTTGATTTTCTTCAATATTAAGGAACATGTTTCCAACTTATACAGAGTGAGTCATGACTATTGAGAGATAGGGAATATGAATTTATGTACTATTGTACATGTGATTTTTATAAAATATGACGTAAACATCATTTCTACGTAATATTGGTACCTGTTATTGTTTGTGAACTATATTTTCATACGTTTTCGAGCAAAAAACAATCGAACAGTTCGAAGTCTCGGAAGGGGATCTCAAATATTATTTCATTCATGAAGAGTGTGCTCTGGACTGCTAGATAATTGTTGCTGGTGAATTACATTCCTTGTCGCAGTGAATTAATTTTAGTGCGAGTTTATAGTCAATACTTTTTCGATTGAAACGCCATGTATCTTTCTCCATAGCAATATTTAGTCAAATTGCCATATTTTGGTCCAAACAATCCGCTCTTAGCCTATGGCTCACCCTGTATAAGTCCGTCTTCAACCTAATTGAGAAAAACATGAAATTGTTTGGAGATGACTATTTGTCAGAGAATCCCGAACTCAAAATATGAAGATTTAACCCAAATCACCTAGATAAAATATGTCTCCTGTCTGAGTTACAGGATGTTTTATTCAAAAATTTTGAAATGTTTTTTGCCCAGTTCTTCAAAACCATTTGACGTATCAATTTTATATTTGGAGGGAAGTCTAGGTATTATACATCCAACTGAATTATGTGAAATGAACTTTTCTAGCTATTACCAGAGGCGTACGACAGGGGCAAGTGACTGGTCGATCCTTCCCAAATTCTACGCCACTGGCGGAATTGCAATTTTGTCAGAATTTTTCGATTCTTCAATACCTTTTTCGTAAATATTGTACTCTTTCTTCATAGCGATAAAGTCATTATTTTTGGAGATATTTCAAGTTAAACATGAAGCAGCACATTTATTTTGATTTTAATGTGTATCAATTATGTCGATATTTTGGATCAATGGACTGCATCATCAATCAAGTGAAACTTCAATCTATATTAACAAAAAAACATAACAGACGGGAGCTGTTACAGGGCGTTTTAAATTTCTTAATATATTACATAATTGAACAGCTCCTGTCTGTTATGTAATTATGTTTTTATTGTTAATATGGATTGAAGTTTCATTTCATTGATAAATACAATCCATTGATCCAAAATATTGACAAAATTAATGCACATTGAAATCAAAATGATTGTGTAGATTTATGTTTAACTTGAAATATCTCGAAAAATAATGACTTTATCGCCATGGAGAAAGAGTACAATATCTACGTCAAAATTGTTGGAGAATCGAAAATTTGTGATAGAATTGCAATTTCGCCAGTGGCGTAGAATTTGGGAGGTATCAACCAGTTAACTGCCCCTGTCGTACGCCTCTGCTAATAGCTAGAAAAGTTCATTTCACATAATTCAGTTGCGTGTAGAATACCTACACTTCCCTACAAATATGAAAGTGATACGTAGAATAGTTTTGAAGAACTGAAAAAAAAACATTTCAAAATTTTTGAATAAAACACCCTGTAACTCAGAGAGGAGACATAATTTGGGTTGAATCTTCATATTTTGAGTTCGGGATTCTATGGTTGAAATATTTCCAATTAGTAATGAAACACCCTTGTATATCTACCAATTTTAGTAAAATGAATTTGTTATGGACGTGAATTTCATTATAATAATACATCCATACCAACTTCATTCAGTCGAGATTGTATTTCTTAAATAATATTTCGGTGTGAATTTTCTCATCAAATACCACTCTAACTTCAATTAAGTACCGGGAATTTTTTCTCGAACACGAATATTAAGAAAATTCTTGTTCACGAAAAAATGTCCGGTAATAGTTGAAGCTTGTATGATATTATGAGTGAAAAAAACTAAGAGGACGCTCTGAAATCATCATAAACCAGAGCAAAGTATAGCTGCCAAATTTTATATTTGATCAGTTCTTTCACACCTCAGTTGAAAATGCAGATTCAACATGCTAGATCTGGTGAAAACAATAGTTCGTCTTGTATATGATTAATTGATTATGTCAACAACAAAATTGTAGAAATTCAAGATAAGATCCATTATGATAGTTATCGACGTATTCGAAGGTCGTTTTTGGTAAACGAACCAGCACCTACACCAAAATTTCGAGTCGAAAGTTTCTATTTTTTTTTTCCTAGAGAATTGTATTTGAAATTGAATTGATAACATCGTATACATAATAGATACTTGATTCTGTTTTTATCCGTTGAATCATCTGTTGATTGGTTTTCTAACATTGATGATACATCGATATATCTTGCTTCATCAATACGCAAATTAAACTTTCAAATAAAAGAAAATCATTTGTAATACTCACATGGTTTATCACTAATTTTACCCAACTAGAGAAGAATATCACTACAATTATTCCAAAGAATATACATCCTACAGAGACTGCTACTACGAACCCTGAAAAAAAAAAGAACAAATTAAATTGATCCACTCTTGAAAGAAAACGATACACACGTACAAATATTATTACAAATGCAAACCATTTTTGTCATTCCAACTGACGAATGATCATTAGGATCATGATGACTTTGACATAATTATCCTCAAAATTATGGTGTCAGTGTCAATGACTATATACAGAGTGACCCATTTGAAAGCGGGCCACCACTGTATCTCACGTAATCGTTGGGTGAGGATCATGAAATTTGCTGGAGCGAGAGATATACCAAAAATGCACTCTATAACCAAGTGGGGTCATCTTCAGTGATATACACTGCTCGCCAACAGCCATGGCACCACCCCAATTTCCTGAAAATGATATTAGGAGTCAAAATAGGTTGAAAATCACTTCGGATTCGGAATCAGGACGCCCAATTCACTAACTATTCATATTTTTCCTTGAAAATTTTCAGTTCTGAAACATTACATTTTGTCGCACTTTTCATAGAAGCGCACCCCCGTATCTCACGTAATTATTGTGGTAGGGTTCTGAAATTTGCAGGAGGAACGGAAAGTCCAAAGATGAAGTCAATTACGTGAGATACGGGGGTGCTTCCGTGAAAAGTGTGACAAAATTAAATTTTTCAGAACTGAACATTTTCAAGGAAAAATATGAAGAGTTAGTGAAATGGGCGGCCTGATTCCGAATCCGAAGTGATTTTCAACCTATTTTGACTCCTAATATCATTTTCCGGAAATTGGGGTGGTTCCATGGCTGTTGGCGAGCAGTGTATATCACTGAAGATGACCCCACTTGGTCATATAGTGCATTTTTGGTATATCTCTCGCTCCAGCAAATTTCATGATCCTTACCCAACGATTACGTGAGATACAGGGGTGGCCCGCTTTCAAATGGGTCACTCTGTAGACATCGCAAAGATCAAGGTGCTTAGAATATACTGAATATACAAGGTGGATAAACCTTCAACAATAGCTGTTTGTAGATGGATGTAGTTTTCTGATATATCTGCATTATCCACTTGATTTTCACTATGTAATGAAATTGCATGACCATTTTCATGATTATTGATGATCAAGTAATAAGCGAGACTTAGACAAAATAAGTAGAGCATAATAATAATTATTAGTGTCTACCTATACGTGACAATTCGTTCCATTACGATAAACTGGGATAAGTATCTATCAGAGAATATAAATAATTTCTGATTGATGGAATAATTAATTAAACAATTAGAGTCAATTCATAGACCATCTGTTAGATCTTTCTAAAAGGTACATTATTTGGAAAAATAATTGTAATTGGTCATACACTGTATACAACTTTCGGAACTATGCAAAACACGAAATTTTCACAAATGTAACAAAATGAAGATCTCCGAGGTCATCTCGCCAGTCCAAATAATGTTCTGAGAAAAATGTCAGTGGGTGAGTGTGGTTTCAACCCTTCTACAATTCCCTTCGGGTTTTTTTGATCACTAAAAGAAGGGCTATCCTCCAAAATCTACTTTTGTCAAAATGTGTTTATCTATGTGAACTTTGAACTCGTCCCACGGACAAACGGTACATATTGGTATGTAAATAAATTGGGTCAAATCAACTCATTTTGACCTGTATTACACGTGGTACCACTGTGTCCCAGCAACTCTGGGACACCCTGTATAATATGACATGTTTTTTTGTAAATAATCATCGAAGCAGTCTAGACTGGAATTATTTTTTTGAATGTTATTGAATTGGGATATAATTGTGTCTTTTCAACAAAATTAATTCAATAGTCATATCAAATTATCAGTCAATAACCATTATTTATCTACCTGAGTTCAGGTACATATTATTTCATTTCAACCATCAGGAAAATAGATAAAAATTCATATTTTTTTGTGTATCATATATTATAGAATTTATATTATATTTGCTGGTTAATTATTATTATGATATAAATACATAATTGAGAAGAAATATTCTCAGATATTTATGAAAAAAAAAATGGATATATACAGGGTGGCATTGAAATAAGTGCAAATATTTCAAAAAACTGAGAAAGCTCGACGTGTACTATCGAATGTCACTAATAAAAAAATTTAGGGATCAAAATAAAATTTTAGGATAGACCCCTTCTTCCACTGAAAGTTCTTCACTGTAGCAAATCTGACGTCACCAGTGTTCAACTTTGAATGCGGTAGGCACAATCACGCGGAGTTCAATCATTTAAGTTGTTTTAAAGTGGCATACTTGATTTTTTTCTCGTATTTTGTTCAATTTTTGGAATGAAATTTCTCGTTAATTAAAATAATTAGAAAAAATCTGGTATCATGGGAATATTCTTCAGACAGTATCATATTGGTGTGATGAATATGTGCACTTATTTCAAAAACACCTCGAAATACATTATGTGATGAAAATATGAATTCTTTCTCGGTTTATTCGACAGAAAACAACTAATTTCACAGGGAAAATTAATATTTTACGATGAACTATTTTATAAAAAAATCACCCCGTTTTGAAGAATCCGAAATTGAAGGCAATGCCATCCAGTGATCTTATATGCAATATCACCTTGTATCGGCATTATATACCTCTGAATATTTCCTATATCATACGAGGCCTTTCCTTGTATCGAAATTGATACCAAATTCAAATATTCTCCTCTTCATCATCAGTGACCAGTCAAGTGAATTTTAATTTTTCATTACAAGTTTAACCGGTAGGTAGTATAAATTAATGAGCTACAACATAGAGTTGGCACCCTTGAAGTTTGATCGCTCCTCAGATGAGTCTGATGCTGGTCACGTGATAATAATTAGGTAGTTTTACAACTCTTTAAGGAATACCATAATTATTTTAAATGGCTAATTACAAAAATAATATGCCTGTCCAAAATGCATGTCGTAGTTCCTTAAACACACAAAATGATGATTGCGTGATAACCTCCAAGCATTGGTTATTCAAATGTTTCAGGTTCAAACATTTTGCAAATATACATTTCTAACAAACTGTTCATCTAGTAATTGACATGCATCATGCATGTATGTGTATAAAGATCATTTTAGGCACTAAGTACGAGCAGAGCATACTTAGAGAGTGTCGGTTCATAGGCATAATTGTTTTTCTACTCACATAACTAAAATGGCATTTAGCGTACGGATATGTACCCCGCTAAATGAACGATTAATCACGAATTGACGTTCTGTGATTTATTCGAAATATTAAACACGTTACCATGGCAACACGATTTCTTAAACACATTACCATGGCAACACAGTTCATTAAACACAGCTTCAGTGATTTGAGACATGTCTGGCCTGTCAATTGTATTAACTGTCAACTGTTTTTTTTTCGAATTTTGTATCAGAATTATTCAAACAATATTCGTTTGTACCAGAATTCTTCATTAAAAATATTATGCGAAAAGTAGACGAAAGTGAAATCAAAGAGAATGTTCTGGTACTTGCATATCTCCAAGAAGTGTAAAAATGAAGCATCCATCTTCGAGAACAATTTATTTATTTTGCGCTAAGCATGAGAATAAACGTGAAACAAAGGTTAGTAAGCAATGGATTGGACACATCTACAACCAATATCACTTATACGTGTCTCGCTGGTTGCATGCAGTTAGTTGCATGTATCATGTTCTCAATTCCCATTCCTTCCGAATTAGTTTGTAGGTTAGCAGGAATTGCAGGTATGTTTATGTAATTTTCGGAGTTCGTAGAAAAATCATAGGATGTAACGCGTTTATAAACTCTTCTAGACACTCGTTTATTAAACACTCGCTCCGCTCTGCTCCGCTCGTGCTTAAACTACTCGTTACTAAAAGGACGTTTATAACACTTGTTACATAATATACTATTTTCTACTCACATAACTGAAATGGCATTTATCGTACGGATATGTACCACGCTAAATGATCGATTAATCACGGATTGTCGATCTGTGATTTATTCAAAATATTGAACACGTTACCATGGCAACACGATTTCTTAAACACATTACCATGGCAACACAGTTCATTAAACACAGCTTCAGATATTCGAGACATGTCTGGCCAATTGTATTAACTGTCAACTGTTATATTCAAATGTTGTATCAGAATTATTCAAACAATATTCGTTTGTATCAGAATTCTTTATCAAAAATATATGCGAAATGTAGACGGAAGTGAAATCGAAGAGAATGTTCTGGTACTTGCATATCTCCAAGAATTGTAAAAATGAAGCATCCATCTTTGAGAACAATTCATTTATTCTGCGCTATTCATGACAATAAACGCGTGAAACAAAGGTTAGTAAGCAATGGACTGGACACATCTACAACCAATATCACTTATACGTGTCTCGCTGGTTGCATGCAGTTGCATGTATTATGTTCTCAATTCCCATTCCTTTCAACGCTTCTAGACACTCGTTTATTAAACACTCGCTCCGCTATGCTCCGCTCTTGCTTAAAATACTCGTAACTAAAAGGACGTTCATAACACTTGTTACATAATATACTATTATGCACCACCGGGAACAAAGTATCGCTCGATTTTGCGTGAGAATTTGGCACTTTAGCGCCAGCGGACTACTTCATCGTTGTCCTCCAGTACAGCAGGTGCTGAAGAGAATTCCATCGCATATTGTTTTTTATGCACAACAGGGCAGTGATCAGACCGTAAAGTATTGTCACTGTTGACTCAGTAATTTCTAGTAGCCTATCATCCAATCTTTCGAAGCAAATCGTAGTAAATGGCGAAGAACGAAGTGATATAGCTACTGTGAAGAGAGGAGTACCGCAAGGATCAGTTTTGGGTCCCCTTCTGTTCTTGATTTACATAAATGATCTTCCTCACACTATGAATTCTATAAACGCATCAACCATTATGTATGCGGACGATACTACGTTTGGCATTGAATTGGAAGAAGAAGATACTGAACTTGTTCTATCACTTATTTTGGAGAAGGCTAGGGCTTGGTTCGAGCACAATGATATGCTATTAAATGAAAGTAAAAGCAAAA